ATTGATTTTGCGATTCGCGCCAAATAATTTTTTGATATTTTTGATCTTCTTCGTGAATGATTATCTGGCGGAACATTTTTTCAATGTCAGCTGTTATAGCGTATTTGTACTGCCTCCACTTAACGATCAGTAGCATAAGATCTTGTTGCATATTCGGACCCCGAAGCATAAGATCATTTAAACTGAGCCCATTCGACGTTGGCTGTGACGCATTGAATACGACACGCAGTGACGTAGTTGTAGACTCGGCGCGCTCGACGCCGTGGTGAGGCATGTAATAACTTGGTGTCTGATTACTCAATGCTAAGCGCATGTGACCTAAATTCAAATATTCTGTCATGAAGGATTTATATTGAATGGCGAATTTTTCTTGTTTACAAAATTTCTTTTCGGTTTGATAAAATTGCGCAACTGCTCGTGATTTTGATTGTCCTAATTTTGATTCAATATCTGGATGCAGTGGGAGGCGTACTACGTATCGACCATCTGCTTGTCTTGTCGTTGTTGATTCATAATGCTGTAAACAATGATAATCCTCCTCTGACAGATTGTTGTTGTCGTTGATATCTTCAATGGACCAGAATTTCTGTATTTCGTCGACGTTTAATGTCACGACATTGCACTGGTAGGATTTCACGTGACCACACAGTATCCAGCCGAGCTTTGTTTGTTGTGCTATAGGGGTGGACTTATTTATATTTATTATTCCGTCCATCATGATTGCTGCATATACATCAACGCCCAATAAAAGGTCTACTGAGCGGCTCTGATAGAAATGTGGATCCGCTAATTGTAAGTTTTGGATGTAGGGCCAATTAGGTCTACCGAATGATTTATTGGGCAAGTTGTTAACTGCTTTTTTCGTAATAAACACGTTAATATTGATAGAAAATTGATCATGCATTGATTTGATAGTAATGTTCATTGTTCCCTTACAGTGATTTTCGGTGGACCCTACTCCAACTATGACGCCCTTGCATTGTTCCCTGCGCAACCCTAATAACTGAGCTGCATTTTCCGATATAATGGAGGCTTGCGACCCCTGGTCAATGAGAGCGCGCAAGATATGATCACTTCCGTCTTCTGCTTGTACCTTGATTTGAGCTGTAGCCAGCAGTACCTCTTGGGTACCCTCCTGTAATGCGGTCATGCTATTTTTTGGTATTATTTTGTCATTGCTCGTGTTTGATATTGGATTATTTGATTTCACAGCAAATACGTCGTGCAGTATTGTATTATGTTCTGCTTTGCAAAGCCGGCATCGTTTCATTGAAAAGCACACCTTGCCCTTATGGTCATAAAGACAATTTTTGCACAATGATAATTTATTTATTGTTTCTTGCTTGATATCCGGTTGAAATTGGAGAAAAGTGTCGCAATGAAATATTGCATGGTCTTTGTTACAAACTGCACATTTTTGTGAATTAGGTCGATAAAGTTTTACATTATAATTATAACTTTTAGGTAATTGATTTCCTGTTGGCTTATAAGAATTATATTTTTTGATGATTGATGTTGATGGTATTTGTCGATTATGCTGATGCTGCTGTGACTGTTGCTGATGCTGCTGTGACTGATGCTGAAACTTATTTTCTGATTTTCTTTTTGATGACTCCAGGGCAGTGAATTTTCCTTCGAGGAATTCTAAGAAGTCACGTAATGATGGTAACTCTCTTGGGTTTTTAAGAGATTCTATATAGTCATTATGAGTGTAGGTATCAAGCTTTTGAGACATTAGATAAACAATCAATGGGTCCCAAGTGGCGACATCAACCCCTAAGTTTTTGATGGCGTTCAGAGATTCGTTTATTGAGTCGTGTATACGTTTGATACTGATAGCAGATTGTACTTGCATAACTGGAATATTCATCAAAATATTCATATGAGAGTTGAATATTAATTTTTGATTATTATATCTCTGATTGAGAATATCCCATGCTACCAAATAATTGTCAGATGTCACATGCAAATGCTGTATTAATTTTTCAGGTTCGCCACGAAGTTTGCTTTTTAGGTATTGCATTTTTTGTGCACTCGGTAGGGACCTATTATTGTGGATGATTTCCATAAACAAATCTTTGAAAGATACCCAGCTGTGATAATTGCCGTTAAAAATTGGCACATCGACTTGAGGAGTGGCTTTTTCTCTGTGGCACTCCGACCACATCTTGGTGTTTATTTTCTTTTTTATTTCAATATATTTCTGCTCGTAGTTGCTGTATGCTTCATCATATTCTCCGTTATCTTCGTACTCTTCACTGTCGATTTCCCAGTGTAGGGAATCTATTCCTGACCAACGTGATTGAATTGATTTCAATGCGTCATCAAATTCCCATTTCTCAGTGAGAAGTTCAAGATTGAGCTTATCTAAAGTTCTCGCGAAGGCTTTAAAATTACTTTTTTGTCTTTTTAGCATTTCTTCTAATTTGCTTCTTGTACCTTGCGAAATTAAGATACTTCTTCCTTCCCGTTGAGTTTCAGTGGAATGAGATTGCTGATTGCTAAAAGACGATGGGACCCGAGAGCCCGAAGGCAGTGGACTGGTTGGCCTCGTAGTTGATTTTTCATTAGAATCGGGCAAATAACTTAGTATGTATGTGCGTGCGTTGTTGTAAAACTCTAAAGTTTCGTTAAAAAAGTCGGAAATAAAATACTCATGGTCGCGTTCTTCTAATTCGCATAATTTAACATGGTTGAGCTGATAATCCTGCCAATAAGACTCTAATGTACTCAATCGTTTTTTGACATAAGTTGCAGTTTTACGTAGGGCACCGTCCTTCTTGAAGTTAGAAAGAAGTTGCTCCATCGCCGCCGTTAACTGGCTCTGATTTTCAATAAGATTTTCCATAGTGATAGTTGTTAGAATTACAGATAAAAAGGAAAGATCTTACTTGATGCTGTTGTGTTACGATCGCTGATTATCGCTAAGCTCGTGCGCTTGGCGAAACGCTGATGATAAGCGCTGATGATATCCTGGCACTGCAGTCCAAAGTTCGCTGTATGGAACCACTTACACAAGCACTTTTTACAGTCCCCGCGCACTTGATCCCACTTGTCCGTAAGTTCGAAGGACCATAAAGATGTACGGGACACCTTTAGATGTTGATTATAAATAGAAACAGTTGATATGATTTTATAGTTTATTGATTTGATATCTAATTTTGTAATACTAAATTAAATGATTGAATGATATAATTGATATTGAGTACACGTCCGCCGTGTAATAGGTGAAAACGTAACTATTCTTTAAATCGTGTAAATGGCGTAAATTGCATCGACCTAATTAAACTGCGGACTTGCAAAAATGTACGGTCGCACCGTACAGTAACCAAATGCTCAAATAATTTTAAGGGATCCTTATCCTTGAATAAAAAATAAAAAAAAGTATGCAATCAATGTAAGAAATATAAATTCATATTTTATTATACAGATTAAACATGCTTCGTATTCACGTCAACAGGATATTTATTTATTTTTGAACTTATTTTGTTTGGGGAGGGTTTGGTACAAAAAGTTGTGTAATCCAGGAACCATTCTGCAAAACACTTTTCAATCCAACATAGGTTTCTTAAATGGGTCTGTAGCACACATGTGTAACAGTCCTGATAAAACTGAAACCTGCGTATAGTAGCGCTTTCTGCTAACCTCACATTAGCCATAATAGTACAGTTAATCTGTCGAAAAAAAATCGTTTCAGTGAAAAAAAACCTAAAGGGTAAGTCTTGTTTTTTCTGTTGCCAAATGACGTCAGTAAGCCACCTTGGCGATGGGCATGTTCAACTCGTAGGCGTTTTTCGAAAAACTCAAAAAAAAACCTTCAAAAATTTTTTTGATACGCATTTTTCTTGTTTTGTATGCATTTTAGAAACTTTTTTTTCGACCATAATTGTAGAGGGCGTTGAGTACTACAATTTATGTCATTGTTGCAATCTCGTACAACAAACAATGCGTATTGTAGGTGGCGCTAAAGTCTCAAAAAAAGTGTTTTTTCACTTATTCACCCTGAAAATATCATTTTAATGGAAAACTTTAAATCGCAAAGTTGTTTCGTACATAATTACCAACAACTTTTGTATAAACAATTTTTTTGTATTACTTACCGTTTTCAAGTTATAAATTGCGCAGGTATGAAAAATCCAATAGAGCGGTTTTGGGCAGTTCAAGTACACATTTGCAGTGCACATTTCAATGTACGTTTTACTATTTTTTAATTTTTTGCATGATTGAAAAACAAAAAAAAATAGTAAAACATGAAAAAAAAAAGTTTATATTATATATATATATATATATATATATATATATATATATATATATATATATATATATATATATATATATAAAATAGTAAAACATGAAAAAAAAAAGTTTATATTATATATAAACTATTCATTTTTGTTTTTCAATCATGCGAAAAAATAAAAAATAGTAAAAACGTACATTGAAATGTGCACTGCAAATGTGTACTTGGAACTGCCCAAAACCGCTCTATTGGATTTTTCATACCTGCGCAATTTATAACTTGAAAACGGTAAGTAATACAAAAAAATTGTTTATACAAAAGTTGTTTGTAATTATGTACGGAACAACTTTTCCATTTAAAGTTTTCCATTAAAATGATATTAACAGGGTGAAAAAGTAAAAAACACTTTTTTTAAGACTTTAGCGCCACCTACAATGCGCATTTTTTGTTGTACGAGATTGCAACAACGACATAAATTGTAGTACTCAACGCCCTCTACAATTATGGTCGAAAAAAAAGTTTCTAAAATGCATACAAAACAAGAAAAATGCGTTTCAAAAAATTTTTGACGGTTTTTTTGAGTTTTTCAAAAATCGCCTACAAGTTGAACATGCCCATCGCCAAGGTGGCTTACTGACGTCATTTGGCAACAGAAAAAACAAGACTTACCCTTTAGGTTTTTTTTTCACCACTCAACCTACAGAATGACTGTACTAATAAAGTTAAAATCAGAAATGTACACATAATCGTCATGTTCCAGGTGACCCCGATGAGCTGATAGACAAGAATGACTCCAATTCACCACTCAAAGACTGGCGGTCGAACCCTAATCTGACTCCCTTGAACCTCACCTATGACGTCACGCCGCCCAGCCTCATTACCGCTGTCGTCACCGAATTGGCCATATTGCCGTGCACGAGTGCTCCCGTCGTCCTTAGGTTCAAACTTTCTGAATATGGAGTTTAAGCTGATTTGCTTAAATCTATTCCTATAGTTACAAGTTTGCAATCTTAGGGTCACTCGCACCAATATTCTTAATTTTATTCAAATTTAAGGCTTGATAGTGTTTAACACATCATAGTATGAGGCTTGAACATAAGATTTTGATTTAAGAAGTATGTGCAAGTGAAATTTGAGCAAGATTATGTTATATGCTCATTCCTCTTATTTTGTTTGTACCATAGTTATTTAATGTATATTCTTATACTTAAATATTTGAATAAATAAATATTTATAATTAAAGTTAGAAGTTTTCTTCAACCAAGCATCATCACCACATTTTTTGCATATCCATGAAGGGCCCAAATCTGAAGAATTAATGCTTTATAGATGATAATTACGATTATTATGTTTAGTTAATTACATGTTTACAAAATTTCAGTACTTATGTACCTCTCATGCTAAAAATCTTCGATCTTCAATTGCTTACTTATTGTTCCATCTCATCGCTCTGATATGATTCACTCGTCCTTCTTTGTCAAAACTATACTTCTGTGGAACAAACTCCCCCTAGATATTAGAATGTCCACCAACAAAATTAGCTTCTAAACCAAGTTACGAAGCTTTTTACAGGAACAAGCAGTCTAGCTTAAAGGTTAGTCGTCATTATTATGTATTAGTATGTATATTTATATATGTATGTATATGTATAGTTATTTATATATATAAATAATTATTTATGTATGTGTGATTATATATATGACTGCTTCATATTTATATATGTTCGTCTTTCTGTAATTTCCATGTAAGTTGTGCACCCTACCACTATTTATCCACAACACCCTATGGTTGACTGGTAGAGAATGTCTATGGAATTAAGTCCACCTTTGTACACTTGTGCATTATGTATAAATAAATAAAATAATTCTCAAAACAGTATAAAGGCATTTCATAGGATTTTTTTAAAACAAACAATGTAGAATAATTAAAACCACTTTATTTCTGCCCAAACACTCACAGTAATATGCAGATGCAAGAGAACTGAATGTTACATTCAAACTTACACATAATTATAAATTAATCTTTATGCTGATGTTCAGACTTATGGATGGAGAAATCTAATCTTACGTATATAATAACACACAAGAACAGTGCATACAAGAAACCAACAACCAGTAAAGGTTCCTGCAACATTAGTAAGCGAGGGAATGTGTAACGCAGTTGAAAATCTTGAATGTGATTTTCAACAAGATTGTTCTTTTTAAATGTTATAACTGGACGGCCTTTTGTATCCAGATAAGTGTAATGCAGACTATCAGGAAGCCTTGTAACAGGATATGGGATATTTAGCTTAATTCCTGTAGATCCCTCTGGCAGAATTATCTTTGTTGTTAATTCATCCACTTGCATGTCATCAAAAATGTGATCTATAACTCGCATTTTCAACAGATACTCATTGCCTGAGTGATACAAATATTCATAACTCGGCACATTGTATCCAAGAGTGTAATGGGTTCTCCATCCACCAAAGAGTGGATAACGAGGTCTAAGGTCTAACTCGACGGAATCTTTTTTCACTTTCATGTTGGATGTAGATATATTTCCGTTTGTGTCGCGATAGTACACATCAGATGCAGAAGCTGGCAACAAAGTCTTGTAGGATCTGACACTAGCAGGGCCGCTATGATGGTCTTGTTGGTAATCATAGCGAGAGAAAGGTCCCTTCAGTTTAGCTCCAGTATGTTCAACTTCAATCAGTTCTTCAACAGCTATATTCCCCCAATGTGATACCTCAATAAGTCTTTCAACACGTGTGACTGTTAGGAAAGGAGAATTATTTTTGTAGTGAATACTTAACTCCTTCTCACTGTAAGGAACCATATTAGAATATGGACCATATTGAATAGAGCCATCTTGCTGTGAGAATGGCTTGACTTTGGTAAATGTTTCAATGCTCTTAGTATTTATGGCAACATTAGTTTTTTGCGATGTGACTGGGTATGGAGAATATACATAAAGGTTGCCAGTGTACTTGACTAATTGGTCCTCTTGTTGTGTTATAGCAGTGGGATACGGCTGTAGAGCTTTGGTGAATACTGTTTCCGCTGTGACCACGACGGTGGAACCGGCGTTCAATGGCTCTTTGAGGTCAACACGCCAAAACTTGATGTTGGCATTACCTTTGACTGTTGATTCAACAGTTCGTAGATCTTTATTACTACTATCCTTAGCGTTTATAGAAGCTAAGTTATCTTTCGCAGAAGCCTCGATAGCCAAAAGAAAGTTCTTCACCGGCGATTTGCCACTATTCTCCAGGGTTATTTTCGAAGTAATTTTTACAAGTTGTGAGGTGAGATCTATCGTTCTGTCCACATTTTTAAATTTTATATCACTAGACACAGTTTCTACATTAACTGATTCACATTTTGTCGTAATATAAAGAATGAATAAAATAAAAAACTGGATTTTCGTCGTCACCGGCATTGTTACAGCTTTGATGACATTTGACAACGTCTTCGATGGTGGACGGAAGTACACGCCATCACTTAGCTTTGACCGGAAACGTCTATTGTGTAGAGAAATGGTTGGCTATTCTATTTCATTGACTATTATCTATGTGTAACATGTTTCCTCTCGCTTTCCTGCAATTTGTAGGAGTGATTTCGTGAAATGGGACGGAAGTGTGTACAGGAAGTCACAAAAGCGCGCGCTATTTGATTTGATTTTAGAACATAATGTTCAAATGGCTTATTCCTTTTGTTGTAGGTTTTTATTTCTTTTTTACTAACATAAGGTGAGGTTTCAAATGTTACATATCATACGCGACTATTGTAAGGCACGCTCGTTTTTTGTTAATTGAACCTATATTATTTAAGTATTTCTGGTTTTTATGTTTTTAAAAAATTGGAGTCCATTCTGGCGTGATTCTCTAAACTTTAAATTAAATTAAACATCAGTTTCTCCTTTTATGCTGTATAGAGAATGACAAGGATATACTGCTGTCAAATTTAAGTTTAGGTTTAGAGAATCATGCTAGAATGCATAATGTGGTAATCCTATTAGAGTCATAGAAGGCCTTCGTACTTCAACTCACACTCGACTCGATTCGTCACTAACAGTAATCACTCCTCTTTTTTTACTCAATTTCTGTAAGTCACCTAATCTCTCTTATTTGTGGTTTGTCATTTTATGAATTGTATCCTTTGCCTTCCCATAATGGATAAAATAAAAAGTATGATGCCTGTGAAATAGAGATGGGATTTTACCCGAAAAAACCAAAATGTGGGAAAAACCCAGAGAAAATTCCCGAATGGGATAATATTCGGGTTTTTTCATATTTAGTATATGTAACATCTAAGTAATGTGTACATACATGTATATATCAAATAGTAAGTACTACTACTACTAGTTAGAGCTAATCTAACTTTGTTTATTTTCATAATTCAATAAATACGATAAATGTACTCCTTACTATCTGATTAAATAAAAATTCTGTCTGTTTGTGTGTGTCCATCCGCTCTTAGCGACAAGTAACCCGAAGCTACGTACGCGGGTAGGGGGGAGGGGCCGAGGAAGCAGGTATTAATCTGTAAATGACAGTAGCGACAGTGACTAAAAGTTTTTAATTGTGAAAAAACACTTGTAACTTTTGTAAAGTGTAATAAATAATTGTTAGTAATATCTCTCTGTATTTTATTTATTTTTAGGTCAAAGATTCTTAAAAAAACCAATAGACGTTCTTTCTGCAATTAAAAACAATTCCATCACAATGCGCAGAAAAAATCTTATATAAAACAAGAAGACATCTTTTTGTTGTTATAATAAACTGCCAGCAGGTTTTATTTTAGTTCCTGAATCAGGCTACATATTTTGACGTTTCGAACAACAGGCAACAGCTAGTGCCCTATATACGCTGACGCAAAGTATGTGCGCATCGCAAAGAACCTATTTTTCGCTGCATTTGTTCTAAAAAATGTATTTTTTTCAAGATCGTGATAATAACGTTAAATAATGAAAATACCCATCTATTGGGTTTTTACCCACATAAATACCCGGTTTTTCCCAAATGGGAGAAAAACTGGGTATATTCCCGTTGGGTTTTTTCCAACTCTTTACTTTACTCTTTTCTTCTTCTTCTTCTTTTTTTTATTTTTTTATCTCTACTGTGAACTGTGAATTGAATGACAAGATTAGGGATGTCGAAAGTTGAAAAAAATATCGATATATCGATACATCGATATTTTAAAAAATATCAATATCGTCTTCGATATATCGCGAAAAAAAACATCGATATATCGATATATCGGACCAATTTTCCCAAAAATATATCGACACTGTCACTTATGCAAAAAAATCATTTTTTCAGGAGAAGCGTTTAAAACTTTAACATCCCAAAACATACAATATTTAAAGTTTTTTTTATTTTTTTTTAGATGAATAGCTAAGCTGTATAAGCTTTTCATCACGTAAAAATCTTTAAATATTGTATGTTTGGGGATGTCAAAGTTTTAAACGCTCATCCAGAAAAAAACATTTTTGCATAAGTGACAGTGTCGCACCGGATGTGCGTATGTAGGTCAGCCTAGCACAGTAATAATAACAATACAAATTATAATTAAAGAAAGAATTATCAAAGTACCAAAATGCCGCAAAAATGTAGTGTACCAAACACTACATGACAGTACAGCAAAGAGTAGTATTTATATTATGCAGTACAGTATCTCACGAAAGATGTCACGCGGAATAATAATGGAACGAAAATTATCTCCCTAAAAATAGACCCTATTTTCGAATGATGAAAATGATTGCAGGGCCTCTCAGGTACCATCTTTCATAAATAAGACTGGACAGTCACACACTTCCACAGAATATAATCGGATTCAGCACAACCAATTCACCAGCGAAACAGATTTACAAATCATAGAAAATACTAAATACAGCACAAATCATAGATATGTTGAATATCATTAGTCTGAGTTTCAGTTACGATTTTTCCAGATACGAATTTAGTTAGATCGTAATATGCCGTTAATAATTAAAAAAATATCGTTTCTGATATGAATTTCGATATTGGTTATTTTGTATCGATGTATCGATATATCGACTCAAAATATATCGGCAAAAAATATCGATATATCGTACAAAAAATATCGATATATCGCCTAGACAAGATTGACAAGATATATTACTTGCTCAGTGGCTGTGCTCAGTGGTCTATTTAATTTTTTTCTTCAAAGGATACGAAAATTAAGCACGTCAATTTAACACGTATTGATAAGTTATTATATCTCAAGAGTAATTCACAACAAATTGACCATAATGGGCATAACGCTTCGCGTATTATTTGTTTTCTTATGTAAGAATAGAAACACACGTTTTAATATAGTCATTTATTTTTCAATTTATTCATTAATACATTTTTTTTTCAGTGATAAATCAGTTGTTACTACATAGCACGGCATTCAGTCGTCGAAATGGTGGTGGTATAAAATCAAACAAGGAAAATGCTCCGAAAACATTTGTCGGTACGTCTTCGGGATTACCCTCTCAAAACACTGTTAGAAGGGGATTAGGCCTGTCTGCTTGGGGTATTATAGGTGTGACTATCACCATCATATTGGCAGGGACCGGCTTCTATTACTTTTCAATGTGCTATCCGATTTTATGTAAGAAGCAGAGGAAGTATGACATGATAGGTTTACCGAATGTAGCTTAAAATTATAATGGGTAGGTGCCTACTAAATAAAATAAAAGAATATCTTTTGCATATCCTTATATTTGTAACTGTGAAGAAGGAACTCCTCTGTTTGATTTATAATATAAAAAACTTCACTTCTGTATGCAGATCTGCAGTTTTCCTTGTTGTAAATTCATAGCTTGTAGGTAATACTAAAGCATTGTAGAAAATTCCATTAGGTAGATAAATAAAATGCCTCTTGGTGGCCGAGGGTTCTAAATTTTAATCATAAATAGGAAATTTGTGATATATATTTAATAGTTCAGAAAATAGGTGCCCTTTTCCATTAAGTTGAAATGAAATTAATGTGCATAATATTATACAAAATCATGAAAGGAAGTGCATTGATTAAATTATAAATCTTACAACTACAACTATTGTAGCACACTTTTATATGTATAAGTTTAAGGTTGATGAACATTTTTATGAAACAAAAGACTGCTGTGGACCAATATTGATGCTGAATACACATTTGATATTACTTTTATAAATATTGTAGATATAAGTAGTTTTACGATGAATTCTAAACCTGTGTTATATAAAGAATAAAATAATATGACCTCAATAAAGTGCCATTGCCTGCATTCTTTGTGGTACACTCAAAACTGATTTTGCCATATATTCATGCTAAAGAGAGATAAAGAAGATAATAGATGGTATTTAAACAGACTTTTTGTATTACTAAAAATTAAGCTTGATGGCGCTCAAAATAGTGGGAGGACATTGTGTATAAGAAACCAGTTTTTCTATTCAAATCAAGTTGTAGACAACATTGTTGCTAGTTCGACATAAAAAAATTAAACAGACTTCCAAAATCGAAAATGGAATCAGAAAGTAAAAAATGATATCTGGTTCATGATTTGGTAGTTGGGCGTGTCAAGATTGAAAGACGTATTATTATCGATCAGAAACGAAAATCTATTAATGTAAAGAAAAGATGTACTAGAAGAAAAATCCACGCGGACCATTTAAACATCTAGCAGTTAAATGCCTAAAAAATGAAACATCTATTTAATGTTTCAATCTTGACCCCATTTTGAACCTCCTCCTTTTAAGTCGGTTAAAAATATTGTTGACTTTGCTGATGGTTTTCTCCATTAACTAATTTAGTTGTTTTTGCTAATTACATTGTAATACATCTTGTTGTGAAATTATAATTAAAATCAATCATATCAGCTGAATGACTTGTAAATAACCATTGTGGTTGGTGATAAAAAAAATTTGGTGGTAATGATTTATGCTATATTTGAATATGCCACTTACTATAGTAACCCAAATTTAAAATTTAGCACTGAGTTCGGATTTTAAATTTGATTATGAACCTTTTACAGGAAAATTACATTTTTCTATGTACAATCTAATAAGTTTGCAGTCTACTGCTTTTTAAGTATAAATCACTCCAGTTTGAACTCAACACATTGAGATTAAAAACAAGTGATATATGCCAACATCTTGCACTATTCATAACTGAACACTATGATAGAGGATTGTATACATTATTGTGTATTATTTTGATCAAATTGTAAGACTGTAGTTGTCACAACTTTTGTTGTACACTCTAGTAGTAGGTTAGGTTTTTTTAGATCGCTCAAATAAATATTTTCCTTAGTAACCTATCTGTACTTTTATTTCTATTATTAAGAATTATACATATCTTAAAACAACCTATGAATTTGCAGAACAACTCCATCTCTAAACTTGACTTGAAGAACATGAACTCCTGTGCAGAACTTATATTGAACTCAATATGCAATCAGTATATTAAAATGTCAACAGCAAAGGCTCTCATTATTTATAATGTGCAGTCAACCCATGATGATTATGATAAATTGTAAAATTAGTGGTACTATGGCCTGATGTATTATAGAAAGATTCTTAGTAATTGATCTAGTCTTATGTTGAGCATAGTTAGAAAGGGATGTCGCTATATATAGCACATAGCGACATCCCTTTCTAACTGTAATCAAGTAAAGATCAACATTTAGTTGACATTCTGTAATACGGGCCTAATAAGAATCTTTTTTGATCATGTGGACAAAGGGGATTTTGACAACAGCTGCTGGCTGCTGCACTTTGATGCTCTGCCAACACCTACTTTTTTGTTTACATGAGTCTACAACTACAAGAGAATTCAAGTACATAATGTAGTGTTGTATATAGGGTAATAAGTTACGTATAGTATTTTTTAGTGTGTGTTAGTGAGGTCTCTTGGCTAGTAACACTTCACATGGCTCCTATTCGCTATTTGTAAACTTGACAACAGTGCCTATATCTTTTTCTTCATCATCATCAGCCTATTAATGTCCCCACAGCTGGGACACAGACCTTCCCTATGGATGGAATAGGGAGAATGGGGCATGACCCACCACGGAGCGGATTGGCGGGAGATGACGATAACGACTGAAGATGCAGCCGGGACCAACGGCTTAACGTGCCTTCTGAAGCATGGAGGAACTCGAGCTAGAAGATTTTTGTTCACCCATCCAATGACCGACCACTGCGAAAGTTGCTTAACTTCAATGAACGCAGCCGAACGCGATAACCACCTACGCCATCGAGCTCCTTTTCTTACCATGTCTTATAGAGAATAATAAGGAGACCACTGTCAAGATTTTTTAGCAGAATAGAATGTCTTATTTTAAAAGTGCCACAGGTCGCTATTAGAACTTCTCAATATGTCTATAATGAGGGTTCTAACGTTAAAATGACAAAGAAAATACAGGTAACTACATACAGTAGGTAGTACTTTGTACATACATTATCTCGCCCAAACCAGAATTGAAAAGGATTAGGATTATAATTTACCAATATCTATAAGGTGTGTGAGATAACAAATAGGTACTTAAAGATGCTCGCGAAACTAAATTCTTATGGTTTTGTTTTTTACGCTTAATTATTTATAAGAATGATTATTTTCAAAAAAATAAAAGATATTTTTTTATAAGTAAAATTTATTTAGCTAGTTTATAATGATATTTCACAGCATTAAATTTATCCAAATATATTATAAGAATTGTCTATGTAAAAATGCAACTGGTACTTAACTGGCAAATTGTTAGAATAGTTTTACAAAAATTACCTTAAATGCCTTTGTAATAAAGGCTACTAATACACATAGAACTTCATTCACTGGACTTAAATTAGAAAGGTACTTTAGTTTTTCGTAAGTAGAAACGCCATTTCATTATAAAAGTTTAGCATTAATATAAAATACGCAAAAAATATGTATTGTGATCATGTTTGAATAATAATTAATAAATAGTTACATAAGAAAATACCTAATTTATTACAAATCCTATAAGGATTATTTCTAGAATCAACACTTTGGAGAACGGAACATTCTTCATCAACGCTTTTGCTTAAAACAAAACTTACACAAATCCTATTTATTTGTCTGCAGATACAAATTAATTATAGATTACAAACTAAAACTTGTAGGCAGTTTTAGGCTACATTTGGAATTTTAATGGCAGAATAAAATTCAGAATTTCAAGTGTGCATAGCGACACATTTAACACCTCTCGATAAAAGAACATTAAAAACACGTTCCACAAAAAGTAAAAAACACAAGTTTTCCGTAACTTAGTTGATTCTTGCTAACGCTAGATCAGACTTGGAAGATTTACAGCTCGTCCTTCTCGAGGTCAACGTCCGAGAGGTCAATGTCCTCCTCGGGCGGCAATTCGCCGTCTTTACCGTCCCAGGGTTCTGTTTTAGACACCGAAGGCATTTGAGCGCCCTTCACTGGGGCAGTCTGCCCGCGACCGAACGACAGGTCTCTGTAATAGGACATTTACAATAAATAATATATATTTATTTGTTACTTAGGTTTTCACGCACATCATTCATTAAATAAAACAAGATTCAACGGGTTAATTTTATTTATTTAATATCGTTTCGCACCCTTTGCAGGAATGCGTCGTCAGGTAAGTTAAAAAAAAAATATTGTGATAGATGTCAATAAATAAATAAAATCAGTGCACCCGTTGAATCTTGTTTTATTTAATATATATTATTTACTTATTACAAAAGTACAGCTTGTGCAGGATACTAGGGTCATTTACCGTACATTCGACATCACTACAGTTTGAATCTAAAGAAAAGTTTACTAGAGAAAATTCCACGTGGACCAGGCAGCAGACGGGACTCGAACTCGCACCCTTCGCTATCCGGGAGAATACTTTGATCATTATGCTACCGCGGCCCTGATGGCCGTGTCGAATTTTCTCTAGCGTTTCTAGCAGTTTCACCTACCATGAGGTCCTGGCATCCTGGGTTGAAAAATCCTGAATCCGAGCATTTATGTTTGAGGTATACATATATTTCTACAAAATCATACTAACCATATCACCACATGGTATTTTTTTCAATTGACACCATATCATTAACTAAACATACAATGATATGATAAGTATGTTTTGTAGATATATAAACAGACATGACATGAACATAAATGCTCATATTCAGGATTTGAACCCAGGACCTAGGTGCTGTCAGAGTAGGTGAAATCTTGAAAACTGTAGTGATGTTTAACAAAACAAAAAAGTTATTTTATGGCACATACGCATATGCCATAAAAAAGCATCTTGAAATGCCTAGTACCATTTACGTTTTGTCTTTGCTATTCGAATAACTGTAGGGTAAATTGAATTTCACAGTACAAGTACAAAGAGAGAAGAGATTAAGAGAGGTTGCACATATTGGATTTTTCGCTCTAACTGGAGCAAGCCTATTTATCTATTTATTTTATTATTTATCTCTCCTCCGTTTACAAATATACTTATTAATGTATAATTAACTTATGGTAGATTTATGGCGGCGACATCTACACGCCCCACATATAACCAACACGAGGAATTAATTACTAGCCTCAAGAGATGGCGCTACGATCAATAAGTTTGGAAGCCTACATCACTCAAGGGAAATTAGGAGGCAAACACTTAATATATGCAATGCCCGACCAACATCAGTCAGGCCTAGGGATGAAAGATACCATCTAGGTATCGATACAATTTTACTCGATACTGTATCGGTCATAAAGTATCGATGCCTATTCGGTATCGAATGAAAAGTATCAATACTTACTTGTATCGATAAATTTTGATGAACTACGAGTACGATAATCTGCCTACGTATTTTTTTGTCCCGTAAATTTTTTATCATATACGGCAAAAGTTCTTTTTTTAAGATTCTCCCGTTTTCGGGAAGGCAAGGAACAATGCCCATACAGCCTGGTCTCTAGTAGCATTAATCTCCTTTTTTACATTAGAATGTCGGTGTGACGCATTAGATGACAACATTAGTTGTTTGTTTGAGTGTTTGCGTAGAATAGCGTGTATTTTAAAGATTCCACTTCTTCAGTTGCGCAGACGGTTGTAACAAAATCACATCAATTTTATTTCACAATTTCCAATATGAACGAATTTAAAAATAATTAAAATAAGACGAGAAAGACCCGCAATATTTCTTTTTCTATACTATCTAATTTTCAATAATTTAGTAAAGAATACCTGAGGAACTCGTTGATGCCGGTCTCCGAGAAGGACCCCCTGAGAGTGGAGAACTTTAGTTTCTTGGCGTTGACGACGGCCATCGCCGGATACCCGAATCCGCCTAGTTCAAGGGCCTCTTCTAGTGATGGCTGTGCACCGGCCTCAGCCCATACCCATCTATATCGAAATCAAATTATATTAATTAATATTTCTAACATATACTAAGTCCTACTTAAGGTAACGAAGAGTAATGCATTCCTGATACTTATTATTATATATATAGATAATAAAGTTTTAAAAATCTTCTCATAGGGTATTTTCCATTTTTTTTAAAACAGCTTATATTTAAAGATTGAGGCATACGATTTAACAGAAAAATAAAAATAAATAAATTAATGTCTTTTTTTCTCCATTAGACCAATTAAAGTTGAATTTATTTTTAATGGTTTTGAATTTACCACTTAAACGCTCGGTTTGATGACATCTACTGTGCGAGGTCAACTTTGTGTATGCTATGTAATCATCTGAAGGTCAAATTATTAACTTTTTTTACGTTTGTGATAAATTTATAGTATAATCACACACACAATAGACGTCCTCGAACCGAGCGTTTTGGCTCTAAATTCAAAACCATTAAAAATAAATTCAACATAATTGGTTTAATGGAGAAAAAAAGACAAATTATTATTTTTCTGTTAAATCGTTTGTCCCAATCTTTTAATATAAGAAGTTTTAAAAAATTTGGAACATACCCTATTAAATATGTGAACGTTCAATTGAAAGGCAGTTCGACAAATTAAATAAAAAAACATTATTCCTTTGCATCATGCGAAACGTCAATAAATAAATAAAATCAGTACATCTATACTGTTGAAATTTGTTTTATTTATCTTAATAATATTTTTTCAAGTATCAATATTTTTTTTTGATGGTCATTTGAATATGTGCCTTATGGAAACCTAATAAGGTATCATACAATAACTCACCCCCACATCTTGTTCTTGTATTTGTCGCCGAGTCTAGCTAGTACGGCGATATAAGCGTTTCTACAGGCGGCGTCACAGTCCAGAATGTGAGGCAATACCGATACCACGCACAAGGGTTTGTCAGCGCAAGCCTTCATGCTCTCTTCGTCCACTACCTGAATATAATCAAAAAGTTGGTGTTTTTAATGCTGGCTCCCAGGGCACAAAACATGAGGAGTTTATTGTGGCTATGGAGGAATTAGATCCAGACATTATGGCAGTTAATGAAACTTGGCTGAGAGCGGACCAGAATGGCAGAGCTCCTTGCCCGGTTATAGATTTTGCCACAACCCAAGACCTAACAGTGTTCGTGGTGGCTGTGGTGGTGGTGTGGGGTTTTTCATCCGCAAAGGGGTTAAAGCTCGTAAATGCTGTAATCCTAAAGTCACCACAGTTATGTAAATGTGGATAAAGGTGCATATCAACGGTACGGATATAACTGTAGGAACTGCCTATAGACCGCCCTGGCAAGACATGAATATCTTCTTTGATGCCATCACTGCCTCTATATCCTCATTCCCAAAGCCCATGGTTTGGTTCTAATGGGGGATTTCAACATTGATCTGCTGAGCAGAAGTGGCTAGGCAAGTCTACTCAATCATATCCTTTTTAGTTTAAACTTGGATCAAGTAATATCAGAGCCAACCCACTTTACGGATCATAGCCAGAGCCTCATCGATGTAATCTGCTCTGACTTGAAGGTTTGTAACACAACGGTCGCCCACATTCCTAAGCTGGATGGTCATGCAATGGTGGCAACTGCTTTGAATATAAAAAAAGAAAAACCAGTGCCACATTGGGTGACATACAGGCCTATCAAAAGCATTCAGTATGATTACCTAAACCAGGATCTAAACTCGTTCAATTGGGAATATTTCGAAAAAACGACGGACTATTACTATATTAGGGGATAAAATACTTTAAAATAAGTTCCTTAAAATTATTAGAAATTGTTCTTATATTATTAGTAAGGCAAAGAGCAGCAAAAATATGTTTATTTCAAAAATAAAGTATATACTTAAGCTACATACTATATTTTCCCCCTTTTTTGCCAGAAAATACTATATTTGATAGAAAAAATGTTGGTTGCCCTAATTCTAAACGCCCAAGTACTTATAACCATAAAGTTTTTATGTAAACACGTCCGATAACATTTACGAGCCAACATAGCCTGATTTTGTTTTGAAACGCCAATTTTATGCGATTAAACTGATTGTGTCTAAAATAAAAACAGTAAGGAGAGCATTTAAAATTTAGTTTACAAAAGTTTTTGTATACAGTAACTGAATTCAGTGTTATTATAATGAGATGTTATTAGTAATTCGATAGTGAGAAGACTAAAACATCTTTTGTTTTAAAAACAGTACCATCTTTAAGATAAATAAAATTATGGGTAGTCTTTCAGTCTGCATTCTTAACTACAAGAAAACGTCCATTCAAAAGTGTTATAGCAATAATGTACTGCCTGTCATTAATTTAATTTACTACTGAAAAGGCTATAATTTTTTTGTGTAGTGTTGAATGCATAACTGAATAAATAAAAAATCGTCCTTAATTTTAACATAAGTCCAATTTATCGAATTCACAGGGCAAAATTCACTGCTAAACGGACATTCTACTTTGCCTGACCCGGATTTTGGCTGTTTTTAGTTTTTGATATTGATTCAAAATCAATATCGCTAAGTCAGTTTCAGCTGACACAAGCACTTGTAAGTATGACTACGTCATCGGTTCGTTAATCAACGGCGGGAGATCTGATGGTAGGAGATTGGTTTATTGATGTAGAGAAAATTTAACTAGAACAAATCCTGCAATGTCTAATTTCTGGACCGAGTGAATTTCATGACAGTCTTTTGTATTTACATTTATAAATCTAGCAGTTTATGATTAAAACTGAATAATACATTTAGTTTATTGAAGAACTGTGGTAGGAGATTGGTTTATTGATCTAGAGAAAATTTAACTAGAATAAATCCTGCAGTGTCTAATTTCTGTACCGAGTGAATTTCTTTAAAGTCTTTTATTTGTACGTTTATAAAACTAGCAGTGAACGCTTAAAACTTAACAATACAATTGGTTTATTGAATTTAAAATCTATCAAGTACTTACCTGAATAATTTCCGGTGCTGGCACATTTTCAGCGAGCTTCTCCAAGGCAAAAGTGACGATATCGCTGGAAGTGCGGCCGCCATTGTAATCTTCCACAGAATCGCTCGTCTTGCGGCCGGCCGGGAACATCTTGATGGTGGGATATCCCTGCACTTGGTACCGGGACGCCATCATGGTATGAACAGTCGCGTCCAAAGCGCCTACTTTCACCTATTGGGAAAGGTTTTATTAGTCAAAGTATGAATCGTTGAAGTTGAGCGACTTTGGCAGTGGTCGGTCATTGGATGGGTGACCAAAAAGCTTCTGTCTCGAGTTCCTCCGTGCTTCGGAAGGCACATTAAGCCGTTGGTCCCGACTGCATCTGCAGTCGTTAGCACCCGCCAATCCGCACTGGCCCCGTGTGGTGTATCATGGCCCAATCTCCTTATTCAATCCATAGGGAAGGCCTGTGCCCCAGCAGTGGGGACATTAATAGGCTGATGATGATGATATGGCTTTATCAATGTAGAAATATTTCGATACTATTGTTAGAAATACAGATATACAAAATTAAACATTTAGCAACGAAAATATGATGCAGAATAAACGAAGAAAGTTCTTTTTTTATTAGTTAAAATTCAAATCAAAATATAATGATAACGAGAAAAGGTTGTACGGCTTAGCATAGACAAATATATTTAGGTAAACCTATGCAAGATTGAAAAAGTTTCAAATGTTACAAGAAACTAGTAGGCCATGTCGAAATTGTATTATGTATTATTAAATTAATCATATATATTTTTCCCACAAGTGTTACTCATAAAGACCCATTTTATGTAAGGAAAGAATGGCAATTTGGCAAAGTATTAAAAATAAAACTACTAATAGTGACGCAATTGTAGCTGCTTTAATTGATATGATCTTTCAGAGATAGATTTTAATATAAAATTAAGTGTGTGTGTGGTGGTCCTTACCGCCATATCCAAAAATGCAGACTAAAATAAGTCTTGTTTTAAACCTAATGTTATCTGTCTTCGTTTTGACGACCTCCGTGGCCGAGTGGTTTGTACGCCGGGTTCGAATTCCGGAGGGGGCAGATGTTTGTGTGTGAATGATGTGCATTTGTACTTCAGTCATGGATGTTTAATATGTATTTCTATATAAATACACTTATATATGTATCAGTATAAATGTATTCTATCCGTTACCCTAGTATCCCATAACGCAAGCCTACAGTGCTTACTTTGGGGCTAGGCTAATTGGTGTGTGTTGAAAAATTTATTTATTATTTATTTAGCAAACAAATAATTTTTTGACCAGGTTTAACTTTTGTTTGTTTTGAAATAAGGTTATGGTTTTATACTATATTACTAACCTTGCCCTTAAGTTCAGTTGCTGCCTTTGCCCAGTGAGGCTCCAAGTTTTTGCAGTGACCGCACCAAGGTGCATAGAACTCCACCAGCCACAGATCTTCGCTGTCCAGCACCAGCTCCTTGAAGTTGCTGTCCGTCAACGTGATCACATCGGACTGAAACATTATATGAGATTGATTATACTGTAGCACTAGTACTAAGTAAATACATCAATTGAGTAATTTAAGCTATAGCAGAGAAATATTAAATATTTATTAATTTAAATAAAGAAAAAACTTTTGTATACTTAATATTGTCCTAAAAGATCATTTTTGAAATTAGTCCTATTATGTAGTCAGGCATCTCAATATCTTTTTTTTTTTTGATTTTGGTATTTGATTCAAGTTTTATATTTTATTTTTAAATACTGCATAAAATTTGCCTTTGATATATTGTAATAACTGATATACAAAACCTGATAAAGATGATATAGCACACTGTGTTGCTTCTAACCTGACTTCCATAAAATTTCCATAAATAACGAGATAACTGACTACATAATAGGACTAATTTCAAAAATGTTTTTTATTTTGGCCATGTAAGAATGATGATAAGCAAGCATAAATGTACTATAGATCTCCTGATGCAAAACCCTAGCCCCTGCTAGGCCTACCCTAAACCACTCCCCGACCATATGCAGCACTGCCTTAGGGGCTGTTCAAGTATTACGTAAGCACTATAGGGGGGCAGCCCCCCTGCCCCCCTATAGTGCTTACTTTGCTTTGCTTATTTTTGATGACATGGGGGGGGGGGGGGGTAGAGATGGTGATTACGTCAGCATCTGCATCAAGCTCATGAATCAATAAAAAAAAACAGAATACATTAAAGGAAAAATGCATATAAGTACCAGTTTACCATGGGGGGAGGGGTAAGAGCTTTGCTTACTTTTGCTGACGAGGGGGAGGAGGGGGTAAATAATTGTAATAAATCTGCTTACGTAATGCTTGAACGGCCCCTTATTCGCATATTTCATTTAAAAAAAAATGTAAATAAAGATTAAACTTTTGTGTCAGTGTTCTTCTGAAAGATTATGGTTACTTCCTGCCTATCTTCAAACAAAACTAAATTGTCATTCTGGAATTACTCTCAGCAAAAATTTATTCGTCATGAAAGAAATTGTAGATGAGAGCTCGAGAGACTCATAAATAGTTTAAATTACATTGGGCATCTTTAATTACTCCATCACTACCAAAGTTGAATAGTATTATGTAAAATATGGGATTAAGATAAACATAAAATGCAAAATTTCTGTTCCAGTAAAAGGTTCACTAGCAATTATAGTTTCATTAGCTTTGGTCTGCGACTTAGTCCGCGTTGTAGTTGGTTTTTTGGGTATACCACTTAAATATATTTTTTCTGGATAAAATGTCAATCTAGGTAATAGCATATATATATGCTTAATTTCATCCAAATCCGTTCAGCCGTTTTAGCTGGAATGTGTAACAAACATCCACACATACACCCATGAATTTTTTTGCGATTTTAATAGTAGGAAGGAAGGAAGTTGGATAAAGCCCATTCAATTGTGATACCTATCTGATGTGACCAAATATTTTTTCTTACTTCGATAGTGAAGGGATGTGTAGGCGCATTCGCCTACATAACGTGTGACGGTCAACGGACAAAAGCTACAAACCATTACCTAATTTTACACCTACACAGTAAATATGAAAGTTTGTCCTACTTTCGTAACTCGGTATATGCTAAAAATAAATTTAAAATCAATTCAAATTGGGCATTGATTACAATCATTCTTAGATTCAAATAGGTAAGTTTCCCTGCTATCTGAGATGTCTAGGCTATTTTTACAAATCTATAAATAGGTGGTTATATTTACAAGTAGAAGGAGAGCCACATTTAGACTGTTAAGAATAGACATATTTGCTGTGGCTGAACTCAGAGATAACAATAAGTCAATGAACCATTAATGAGGTATTTAGCCTGATCAGAAAAATAAAAAAGTTAAGTGATGTAATTGAGGCCAGGTTTTTTTTATTTCACTGATTAAGATTTAATTGCTGTAAAATTCACTTAAGCAAACAAATTACCAATCAATATAATGAAAATTTGACACAATCAAAATAACATTTCTCAATATAGAATAAAATTATTATAAAGTATATGTTGCATCCTAAAATCTTCAAAAGTGTAGAGCATCTCATCCAGAATGTAAAATAGGCACACCTTTATCAAATATTTTTTTATGTAAAGAGGGTGGTGGTGGTGGCATAGGAATAAGGCCTGGTTGATTTAAGCAGCCCCATAGTACTTTATGCAAGAGATACTAGAGGGAGTATCAATAGGGAAGATGCAATATTTTTATTTTTGTTTTCATTTTAAAGAATTCCATGTAGAATAAACCACAGATATATTAAAAAAATTAAACATTGTGATTTATGGGAAAAATGCGGTTTTAAATTGACAATTTAAATTTTCGCGCGCAAACGAACCTATGGTTGCGATGACGTCACTCCTGTCTGTCACTGGTCGTAGTTGTTCGTCGCTGACTTTAAATTTTCATACTTTTGCATATTTTTTCGAATTTCGAAATATTTTTTTGAAAAATTTAAAATGGACTATCCATCAACATCATGTGATCATAACAATACCACTAATATTCCGAAAAAAAGCCGTGTTGACTCATGTTTTGTGCCAATCTACTTCAACAAAGTTCCCAAATAAATTGTTTTTGACTGGAACTTCTGACCCAAAACTGAAAAAAAAGTTGTTTCAAGCTGCGAAGAGAAATGACAATTATTCTCCAAAGACCATTATTCGATGCTGAGAAGATCACTTTGACGTAAGTCGGCGAATATACTTGTTATATGCTTAATTAATCTGCTTGTACGTAAAAACGCATTAGTAACCTACCTAATACTTACAAAACCTGTCTATAACATATTTTTAATTTGACAGTTGGAGAATGACGTCGAAAATTAGATAAAGTTTAAAATATGTGGCACACTCTTCACATTGGCAGGACTGAACCAAGCTTTGCGTTTCATTTAAAATAACTGTAACACGATAACCTTCTTTACGTACTTTATGCTCCGGAGAACTCGACCTTTTACTGTACATAATTCTCCATCTCTTTTAATTTGGACATAGCCGATTGCATTATCGCCGTAAGATTTGTAGAAGCCGCTGAATAAAATACGAAGTTTAACAACTACGATTTTTACATACCGTAGTAATTTAGTCCCTTTCATTTCTACACTTAAAAACTCTGCACTTTGGACAAAAAAAGTTATAACCATGTCAACGCTAACTCTTGGTAAATTCCTGGAGTCTGCTTTGATAAACGCAACTTCCATTTTTATTAAATGTAAAAAAACGCTATAAATATTCCCATAAAATAATATTTACTTTAACAACCATAACCTCAAAGAAGTTGTCATAACAGGAGTGACGTCACTAAACGCTGATTGGTGTTTTAAAATACGTTCTGTTTCAAGTATTTTTAATTCATAATAATGTAAAATAAAAATGTTGCAGTGGCATTTCATTTATATTTTTTTAACATTTTAGTCATAAAATTTTCATAAATATTATATATGCATCTTCCTTATTGTGCATTGCCTACCCTGGCCACATCCCCAAACCCATATAAACCTTAATCACAGACAGAAACACCACCACCAAAAGGTAGTGTTATTTCACTGTAGTCTTCACTAATTATAATTCTTTAATTAAATAATTTTGTATTTATAATGGTATAACTATTTCTAATGAAATATGTATGAGTATTCTAAGCATAAAACAAAATGTTTTATATTTGAAAATATTAAATGCTGAAATTGTCTTTAAAATAACCATCAGTTCGGACTAAGGTAGTCAGTTAATAGTTTTTAACAAAATATTTATACAATCCACAACTTGGTTGTAATCTTATCAACAGCTTAAGTAGCAATAAAATCAATTTTCATTTCTATTTCATTATAAAGTTTAATGCTAATGACTATTTGTGTGATTTTTTTATCTTTGTTCAATTCTAATACATCTATTTGAAAGAAATATCAGACGTATTCATGAGAGACTATTTAAATATAATGCATTTTTTATAGCAAACTATATTTTTTTAGAAAATACAATTTTTCTTAAAGCATATTTTTTCTTTGAATGCAAAAGTGATTTATTTATTATAACTGGCTCAGCTTCATTATAATTTCTTCTACGAAACAGAAGTTTTTGATATTTATCAAACTTAGACTTGTTGATCGGTGAAGTTACATGCGGTTGATCAATTTGTTTCACCATGATTGTTGTTTGCACTTTTTTCCATGGAATGTTGTGACCATATATCTGTTGCTGACGGACCATCTATTTGAATAATTTGAACACTTAATGTTTCTTTGACGTTTCAATATTTAGTAGTGCATGGGGAATATCACAGACACATTTTGCAGTTTTTGGTATAAAAGTGTAATTATTGCTATATCATTACCCATAAAATGTTTTTTTATTTGTTAGTTATAAAATGATATATATTACAAGTATAAACAACAAAATACAGGCAAACAAATGTTTAAGTCTTAAATTAATGAACTTAATATAATTTTATCCAAATAATTTGAAAAATTGTTGAAAATGCAAATAAATCACTCATTTGATATGGCATTTTTGCCTCTAATAATTAAAGACATTTGTTCAAAATTCAATAAACAAGACAGTTGAAAAAAAATTACAATCAACTATTTGTTACAACAAAGACATGACTGTGAATTGATAAAGACAAATGAGCTAAATAGAACTACCATATCTGTTCTTAGCCTTATATGTCAGTTGTAAGGAACTGGATCCTACTTATATTAAATAGGTGGTTTAAGTAAAATATCCAAAAAAACATTTATTGCAGAGAAATTTAAAAAAATATTGAAAAAGAGGTCTCAACAAAGTGTAATGTAGATCATATCACACTAAAATCTAGCTTTATTTTTGTGTGTTTTTCTTTTATGATATTTTTGTATAATAGCATTGACTTGTTTTAAAAGTTTTACCTTGTCTGAAGATGATGAACCTCCAGCTTTCTTTCCAAGATTTTCATAAGCTTTTTCTTTGGCTGCTTTAAGAGCAGCATCTACAAATGATTCTGCATTTCTCTGACCCTGGTATGGTGTGTGTTTACTGCCTGTGAATATTTTAATAGTGGGGAATCCAGTAACTCCATACTTTTGTGATAAACTCTTGTGATCATCTGCATTTACAGCTCCTACTTTGACAATACCCTATAAAAAAAGGATTGCATGAATATCTACATACATTGGTAACTTAATTATTAAAAAGACAATATAAATTTTAATTCATAATTACCTTTAACGCTCTAGCTGCCTTTTTATATTCAGGAACCAGGTTTTTGCAGTGACCACACCATGGAGCAAAAAATTCTACAATCCATACTTCATCAGAATTTAAAACTAGCTTATCAAAATTATTTGGCGTCAATTCAATAACATCACTGGATGAATCGTATAGGCCATACGATCCAACCGTATAAAATAGTAATAATCCTGAAAAGGAAAACAAATTAGTACCGGAAAATTCGCCGGCAAATTTACGCTAAAATGTTTTTAAACTTTTACGTACCTATAACAGTATAGTACATTGTGTATTTTAAGATACAGTAATTTATTTAATAGTTACTAGTTCTTTTGAGATGATCTTTTTGAGCGCAACGAAATCCCCTTTTACCAAATACCAATGTGTGTGAAATTGTGAAGAAATAAACACGTCAACCTTCAGAAACCGTAATTTTGTCAATGGATTCGTGTTTTATTTTTATTGGTCAATTCAAAATTACCGCCGTAAATAAAAATAAATGGTGGTGAATCATTTGTAAAGACGTTTATACACAGTTACATTACTCTTGTTATCCTTTGAACACTATAGACTGGATAATCGTCACCCAAACTATAGATACCTGGGGTACGGCCACAGTGCACTCAGATTCAGATTCAGACTCAGAAAACAAGCGCGAGAAATAAACAGTGTAGTTAAAGCAGGGTGGCCATAGTGGCAGCAGGCAACCTGCTTAAACTACACTGTATATTTCTCGCGCTTGTTTTCTGAGTCTGAATCTGAATCTGAATCTGAGTTCACTCTGGCCGTACCCTATCGATCGATAACACAATGTCAACTTGTCAACCGTTATTAGGCAGAATTGCACTTATCCCACGTGTTGTGTTGTGACCTTAGAGCATATACCACTGGAAATGCCATACCGTTCACTCGCCGAACAAAATTTTTCATCATTTTTGGCGTGGGACAAGGTACACACGAATAGCACACTAATGAAAATATGCAATACTCCCACAAACACGAGCGTGTTGTTGATATAAACGTACACTTCAAAAATTTCGTCACACAAACAGAAAAACGCACGCACTCTAACAATTTTTATGTAAAGAACTATGCAATTGTTCGAGCGTTCACCAACACAAAGTTAGGAATGCGATATTAAAAGAATGAACGATATTTGAATGAACAGTTCTTGATGAATGAACATAACGTTTTTTTATAATGAATTCAAAAAGTTTCATTTATAAATATCTATCTGAAAGCTTATTTATAGTTTTAGTACTTATGATTTTTATGCACAAAATTCAAAGACTTTTTTGCAAATTATATTGCTGTGAAAAAGTCTTTCTAACTGAGTTTGCTGCCTTTTATCGAATACCCTACCTACATTTAATTGCTTTTACACCCCGAATTATAGCAAACGAAATATATTGCCATAAAACACTGCGTAACTGACCCAAGCTTATCGATTCTTTGTTTAATTTCTACCTATTTTTTTGTCATTCATTCGTGATTTCACGCCTTTTCCTTTAATTGAATTTTATACCAGAATACTATTTTTAGAACCAATATATACTTATGTATGATAAGAAACACCATGTTTCAGCAGGATTAAAGTGGCAGATCGGTTTTTGCGTGGGAAAACAATATAATTTTCCATTTTTGTGGGAGCTCTGACTCAAAATGATAACGGTCGCGCGTGAACTAGTTTTATATAACTCATATGGCCCGATGGCCACATATTTTGGAGGAGGGATACGCCCGCCCATGCCTTCTCCAGTGGTATACATACTCTAAGGTTGTGACGCATCAGAGCTACCCGTCTCATACATTTAGTATAGTTAGAGTCAGCACAAACGCAGTCGAACACAGATCACTACCCACACAAGTACAGTTCTAACCGTACTAAATGTATGAAACCTATAGCGTCAAATCGCGTCACAAATCGCGCAATCGGTTTTTAAAAAAGGTGTACTTCATTTATACTTATTACCGAGGTTATAGAAGTCACTCAATGTGCCCACATTAGTAGCAGCTCTAACCTGATAACTAACTGGTGTCGATTCTAGCATGATTCTCTTAACCTAAACTTAATTTTGACAGCAGTGTATCCTTGTCTTTCGCTATACAGACTGAAAAGGAGAGACTGATGTTAAATTTAGTTTTAAGTTTAGAGAATCACGCCAGAATCGACACCACTACTTAATTTCATCCGGTACTTTTCTACTATCTATACGCTAGTTTACATCAATTTATTGCCCATTAATAAACAAACTGATAGACAAACAATCAGATTTTCTAAATTTGTAAATCTCTCTAAAAATAATAGAAATGTATTGGTGTCGAATCTGGCACGGTTCTCTAAATCTAAACTTAAATTTGACAATAGTGTATCCTTGTCATTCTCTATAAAGAATGAAAAGGGGAGACCGATGTTAAATTTAGTTTTAGGTTTAGAGAATCACGCTAGAACCGACACTATTAAACTACTTTTAAAATAATAAAGTTTAAATCATTATACCTTTCTAGTCATTGGTTAATAATGTTAGAGGTAGTCTTGTTTATTAACCAGAAAGATTTGAAAATAATAAATAAATATATTGTTGGTACGGGGGGCAAGAAATATCGCGAGTAACACACAGTTTCATATGATTCAGAAACATAATATATTGTTTCAAAAACAGGTTACTTTGTTTATGATCAGTGTTTATAAACAATTGTTTCACAGTAAATACATGGCATTAAAATTACATTGAATCTTTTTTTCGGTGGTACAGTTAATTGAACAGTAGAAAACATATATTTATTCCGTGGTTCAGATACCAGGACATACGAAGATGTATTTATTCCTTTCGAACTGTACCAGGAAGGTATTTATTAGTTAACTGTACTACTGTAAAAAAAATATGGTCCAGTTAACTGGACTATCCCAACTGTACCGTATGCGGGCAATGCATTGAAAAGTTTTACTCAGAAGTTCAGAACGTAACGTTTCAGGTTTAGAACGCAGCCCCACATGCAGCAAACTTCACTTTTCTGCGCCATGTTTGTTTGTGATTGAGGGTGCAATATTTCGCATGGTGTGAGAGTAAAATGATAAAAGACATGGACTTTTTAAAGTCTTGTTTATTCAAATCTATTTGAATAAAATACTGCGAGTTTGTTGATACTTATTTCAAACTATGTTAACACGTCGATTGTTTTCAGTAACGGTAAAAGGTACTTCAATTTACCTTTGTCGGCGGTAGTTGTGTTGACAAAATGAAGATTGCAGTTGATTCTCCCGCTTATTTTTTTAGGTTATTTATGGCGGGAAATTAGTTGCTGGTAGTGTGTTTGTACCGCGTAGTAACGTAAATAGAAGTTCCTTTCACTCAGGGGGAACAGCCATCGTTGTTTCCATCCGTTTAATTTGTTTTCAGTTTTAAATTTGCCTAAAATGAACAATACCAGTAAGCGGCCATTCACTGTGTTCGTCGAGGGTAATATTGGAAGTGGGAAAACAACATTCCTAGAGCATTTTTGCCAATTTGAAGATATAACTCTGCTTACCGAACCTGTGGAGGCGTGGCGTAATCTCAAAGGATGGAACTTATTGGTAATAGCTTGCTCTATTTATTTCTTGCCCAATAAAACCGAAAGTAATTACAATTTCAATATTCAAGTATTTAATTCTCTTTTCAGGACTTGATGTACAAAGACCCAGCAAAATGGGCAATGACCTTTCAGTCGTATGTATCTTTGACCATGTTAGATATGCACTGCAAAGTGACACCAACTCCAATTAAATTGATGGAGAGGTCATTATACAGTGCCAGATATTGTTTTGTGGAACAAATTATGAGAAATGGAACACTACACCCGGCCCAGTTTGCAGTATTGGATGAATGGTTTAGATTTATACATAATCATATCCCTATTGAAGCTGATCTTATAGTATATCTTAAAGCATCACCGGCTATTGTACATGAAAGAATAAAGCAAAGAGCCCGATCTGAAGAGCAATGTGTACCATTGTCATATTTAGAAAGTTTACATAAGTTACATGAAGACTGGCTGATACATAAAACTTTAGGAGAATGCCCTGCACCGGTAAATTATAAAATAATGTTTTTTCCTTCGATCTAGATGATAATATTCTAAACACAATGTATTTTATATTTAATTTTCATAAATTTTTTGATAACAAATTTAGTAAACCTTTTGAAATGGTGACTACTATTATTTCTGATTTTCTTAAAGTACTTAGAGCTAATAATTTTATTACTATATATAAATTTTACTAATTGGCATCATCTCACAATTTGAGACTATTTTAATTTTTTTGTGATCTTGATTTTGGATCATGTTTTGTTATCAATTTATTTGAAATTGATTTCATTTGTAATTTTTTAAAATTATATTTTTAGGTGTTGGTGTTGGATGCAGACCTTGACCTATCTGAAATAACAGAAGAATATAAAAGAAGTGAACACCAAATATTGAGACAAGCTGTGGATGTAGTGATGAGATCACCTAACAAACTTAGCCCTAAGAAACCTGTGACTGGAGGAGCTATTAAAATAGTTCCAAATATTAGATTATAATAGTTTATAAGTTTTTGACTTAATGACTTCTACTTTCATAGACCAATTACTGACTTAAATATTATGTTTTCAAATATTTACACTTATTAATTGTGTTAATGGGGCACATCAATTTATTACATGAGGTGTTTTTGACCCCCCCACCACTGAGTAAGGTCAGCTCGGACCTTCTCCCCCCCCCCCCCCCTGAACACCACATGTAATTAATGGACTCCCCCTAAATAATGTTTAGAGTTATAAATTTTTCTTTTTTAAGCATGTAACTGCTTGATGTTAAATATAAATGTTTAGATTGTTAAAAATTTCAGATCATGCAGTACCTGCATTTGTAGAAACAATAATGCCTTATAAAAGTATGTTTACAAATAAAACATGCATAGCATTCTTTATTTGTATAAATTTGCAGTATGCAATACTACATAAATCTTATGTAAGCTATTATAATGTTGAGTAATCATTTGCCTTACACAAGGTTTTGTGTAAAAAATTAGCATTCACTAGTGTTATTAAAAAATTGATAACTATGATTGTGGTTAAATTCTATTGACATAAATGAATTATTTGCTGGTTGAATAATGGCTACAGTAAAATTGATGGCAGATTATGATAAATTCAACACATCATTTGCACCTGCCTAAAGTATGAGTGTTATGTTTAAGTATTTTATAAGTTACTTTTAATTTATATTTCTGCCCCCCCTCCCCCCACATTTTGTTGGCCCTAGGGTAAATACCCCCTTGGCTACTCTTAAATGATCACTGATCTTAATAGTAATTACGATATCATTCACTTCTCATTATTGTCAAACATTTAAAAATAAAACGGTACATACATTTTTTATTATTGCATTTGTTATGTATTCTTAATTTTATTGGAAGTATTTGGTCTGTGCTCAGTTAGATACTGATAACAACATTTGAAATATTGTGTATTTATTTTTGAATATTAAAATTAATCTTTAATGAATTAATGTTGTTTTTTTGAGAGGTCAAGGAGAAAATTTTTATTGTAAAAGGTAGTTTTTCAACACATTTGCGAGAAAGCATTATATATAATTTAAGTGTAAGAAAATGGCGCCACGTGCGGGTGTTGAAAATTAGAACTACATCTTTAGTCATTTTTTCTTTTTACTATTAAAGAGAGACATATGTATAGACTGGTATAGACTTACAGCGATGCCGACGAGGTTCGATCGAAATAAAAAGCGGCCAAGTGCGAGTCGGACTCGCTCATGAAGGGTTCCGTAGCAGCAAGTAACATGGTAATATAAAAATTCTTGTACTTCGTTGTAACTTTGAACGATATTTTAATTATAACCATTATTTACTTAGGCACCTATTACTTACAGATTTATTTTTAGAAAATAATGGTTCACGGTTGGTTAATGCATAAGGTTTATGTTTAAGAAATTCAATGGTTTTTTTTTGAGTTGATAGAAAGGTAAATTGCGGTTTACGATTTATGACGTATTAAAAAAAATGGTTGCCTGTAAGCCTTACGGGCGAAGATTTTACGTGACAACGTCTTTTTCTCGGTAGAATATTTATTGATATGAATATAATTAAATTGCACAATAGGAACAAGGAATTGAATGAAAATAAGAATTGCACAAATTTTAACTATAGAAATATATTTTGTTTACTAAAACATTGTACATGTAAACTTAAACTTAACACGAGAGACTCATCGTAACGTTACCGAGCGTTACACTTTTTCATAAGTGACTCCCAGCCGCAACCTAATTTAAGACGTTGTCACGTCAAAAACTACTTACTAGATCTCGTTTAAACCAAAACGCGGTAGAAGTACATCATATATATTTCTTTAGTTTTATCATTCTCTGATTTTTGAAATTATAGGGGACACACATTTTACCACTTTGGAAGTGTCTCTCGCGTAAACTATTCAGTTTAGAAAAAATATGATATTTGAAACTTCAATATCATTTTTGAAGACCTATCCATAGATACCCCACAATTATGAGGGTGATGAAAAAAAAATGTTTTGAGTATCAGTTCTAAGTATGTTTAAACCCTAAAATTTATTGTTTTATTTCCATTTTTGACTGAAAATCTTAATGCGGTTCACCGAATTCATTTATTTACCAAGTTTCAACAGTTTAGTTCTTATAGTTTCGGAAAAAAGTGGCTGTGACATACGGACGGATAAACAGACAGACATGACGAATCTTAAGGGTTCGTTATTTGCTATTTTGCTACGGAACCCTAAAAAATCGTAAAGAAAAGCACGGTGCCGCGTATGGGTGCGTGATTTTATCCGCACGCTCAGCCGTATGGTCCGTATATTTGAATTTTCGAACAATGTATACAACCTTCGCAAATGTGTTGAAAAAGTAAATTACCACCATGTTGCGCTAATCCGGGCGAATGAAGCGAACAGACTACCATAATGATTGAGCGGTTTCGTGCTGGACAGGTTCGATTGAAATTCGAAATCATTTCGTTATTCAGTTTAGGCTGTTACAAGTTCTCATGAATATCTAGTTGCCATCGGTTCGTACGGTGGGAGACGTCCGAGTAGCCTCGGCCGCTCGGACCGTCCCTACGTATGCTGTCGCCCACCTTTCCCCCTCTCTTCTCCTAGAAGAAGACGCGGGGAGATGTGGGCGACCGGGAGGGGGGAGAGAGACGGGAAGAATTACGCTTCCCCTCCCGCTCCCCTCTCCCAGGAACGGCGGCCCCCCCACTTGTAGTTCTGACCTACAAAGGGGGGCGGCGGAGGGTTCTTGGACGGGTACGCCCAGGAGACCCTCCGCAGCGGATGGGGGGCGGTATGGTGTACAGTAGGCCGCGTACCCAGCCCCCACGCGCGGGCCTACCTGCGCACGTCTGCGGAGTCCCCGTAATACCGCGGGAGACCCCTGCCGTGGAGCCCCGGCGAGGCCGGGTAGCTGCTGGGGGCGGAGCCGTGGTAGAATCCCTAACGGGGACCCTGCGGCTCCGCACTAAGCAGTGTTGAAGGTATTCGCAGGACTTTTTTAGCGGATATCATACCGTAAAGCGCCCGTAAGAGTTGCGGGGTCCTCGGTGGGTAGCCACTGGGGGTTCCGTAAGACTTGCGGGAGCCAGGTGTGAGGTCCGTTCGGCGGTGTGCCGCTTAAAGGCGCCGTCGTTTGTAAAAAGATTTTTTATCTGCGTTAAAAAAAGGGTTTTTCAAGTAAATAGTTGAGTTTTTAGAGGAGGGAGAGGAGCGCCGTACTCTAAGAAAAATTAGCTATTTAATAAAGTTCAATATTTCGCAAACGTATTCCTAAATCGAAAAATAGTCATAGGAACCCTTTAGTCATTTTAAAGGACATATTCAACAAATACATTTCTTCACAAAATTACAGCTCTCTAGTGCTAACAGACTCCAAGCAAAACTGGAGAGGGATAGACAGACGGACAAGACGAAGTTATAAGGGTTCCTTGTTAAAGTATCTCGTTTCGACGATGAAACTTTAATACCTTCTGGAAAATGACGTTTAATAACATCATAGCTTCTGACTATTATCTAACATAAAATGAAAATATCGGTCAGGTTCTTCAATTAATTTTTATTTAGTTAAAATATTTATAAGTAAGATTTTATTCACTATTAGAACATAATACTTTATAGGGTCTACATTTTATCCATATTTTATCGCCGAAATTTTATTGTCATAAGTAATAATAATAATAATATTATAAATTATATCAGAAATTTAAACTAATAATGTTGTTCTCCAGAAACATTTATAAATAATAACTTAAAAGCAGAACCATCATATCGCAGAAGGTTCACAGACAGAATCGTGTTTTGGCTTAAAATAAAGTATTTAACTTTTCCTTAATCATAATGATAATAATCTTAATGTAATCCTAATCAAAATCATTTTCATCCCACCACCTCGGAAAGTGTAATTTTGCGCTTCGAAATCTGGCTGGAAAATTCTATTTTATTCGCTTGAGCGGCAAAGTAGATTTGAATTTAGAACATCACATATAATGAGTACTCAATATAATTGTAAATTCAAAACGTCATTAAACCTATTTAATGTAACCTCTATGGTGCCAAATTTATGATTAGAACTTTTTAAATTGTGAAAAAATTTAAATTTGGAACCTTCTTGGTTTCTTTGTTTTATTTGCGTGCTTCGCGCCATTCTAGTTTTTCACGTTTTATTGCTTAATATAATTAACATAACCTAAAAACTGTACAAAAAAATCAACTAAAATGAGTGACATTAGCGACGATGAAGTTTATCTAACGCCAACTGAGTTAACTGAAACAGTTAATAATGCGCAAATGAGCCTTCTCCCTCAGCAATCACGAGAGAAGTATTTGAAACAGTACGATATATTTAACATGTGGCGACTAGCTAAAGGAGCAAAAACTTTCTCCGAAAACGTTTTGCTGGCATATTTTATAGAATTATCTGAGACCAAGAAAGCAAGCACGCTATGGAGTACGTATTCAATGCTAAAATTAACAATTAAGATGAAGAAAGACGTTCATATCGACACCTATCATAAATTAGTGGCATTTTTAAAAAGAGCCTCATCTGGTTATAAACCAAAAAAATCGAAGGTTTTCACAGCATCTGAAATTGCAAAGTTTATTAATGAAGCACCTGATTCCGTATATTTAGCGGCAAAAGTAAGTCAATACGTGTAATTTTTTGTTGTTGATAAAATTGTACATAGTACTTACAATATTTTTAATTTGATTAATTTATTTACGATTATAAATACTTCTTTTGTTACAGGTTGTTCTTATTATTGGTATAACCGGAGCATGTCGAACAAATGAACTTACACTACTTAATGTCAATAACGTATCAAAATATTCTCATAATTCTGATGAATTGCTATTAATTAATGTACTAAATACCAAGACAAAAAAAGACCGCAACTTCGTTATTCGCAAGGAATATGTAAACATTGTTCAGAAATATCAAGCTTTACGTCCTTCTAACACCCCAATTGAACGATTTTTTCTACAATATCGCAACGGAAAGTGTATCCGACAACCTATGGGTCAGAATAAAATTGGCAGTATTCCACGAGAAATAGCAACTTTTCTCGGACTTTTAGAACCCCCGTTATACACCGGTCACTGTTTTAGAAGAACCTCAGCCACACTTTTGGCCGAATCAGGGGCTGATCTTCTATCGCTTAAGCGCCATGGAGGCTGGAAGTCT